GTACCCGAATCATGTCACTCTCCACCGTCGCAGTAGGCTTCCTCGTCCTTCTCCTCTTATCCCGTGCCGCGGCGGTGGCCATTGATTTCCTCCCATCGGAAGATGCAGAAGCTAGAATCGAGCGCTTCCAGCAATACCTCCGCATTCAGACCGCCCACCCGAACCCCGACTACGCCGGTGCGGTCTCCTTCCTTTCCACCCAGGCTCGCTCTATTGGCCTCGAAACCCTAACCATAGAGTTCAAGCCAGGAAAACCCGTCCTCATCCTCACCTGGACCGGCTCAGATCCATCCCTCCCTTCCCTCCTGCTCAATTCCCACATCGATTCCGTCCCCGCCGACCCCGCGCACTGGATTCACCCACCTTTCTCCGCCTACCGCGACTCCGATGGCCGTATATTTGCCCGCGGTGCCCAGGATGACAAATCCATCGCAATCCAGTATCTCGAGGCCCTCCGCAACCTCAAAGCTCGCGGCTTTTCTCCTCTCCGGTCTATCCACGTTTCTCTCGTCCCCGATGAGGAGATCGGCGGCTCAGATGGAAATGAAAAGTTTGTTGCCTCCGAGAAGTTTAGGACGCTCAATGTTGGCTTTGTGCTCGATGAGGGCCAGGCCTCGCCTACGGATGAGTTCAGAGTCTTCTATGCCGATCGCTTACCATGGTCGCTAATCGTTAATGCGGTGGGTGCGCCCGGTCACGGATCGAAAATGCATGATAGCTCTGCAGTGGAGAATCTGATGGAATGCGTGGAGACTGTTGCTCGATTCAGGGAAATCCAGTTTGATTTAGTCAAGGCTGGTATCAGGGCCGGTTCCGAGGTCATCTCGGTGAATCCTGTGTACCTCAAAGCGGGCACGCCAACTCCTACTGTTAGTTATTTAAAACAACTTTCTTTTTTCATTTTTTTTCAGAACAGTCATTTAATCATGACTTTAAGCAACACTAGGCTTGTGATGCGGTAAGTTTCTCAATAAGTTCACTCAAAATTTGTTTGTTTGTGAGAATTTGCTCCCTGGCATCTCAAAATGGCCTCAATTATGCAAAGTTGCTTGCTGTTTTCGCAATATTGTTC